TTTATAGAATATATCACATATCAGGAACCCTCAGTCAGTGTCCATGCCTCTTCCCAACCCACTGTACTTTATTAAAAACATATTAAAATATTCATATCTATGCAAATTAAACCCATTCATATTATGTAAAATTAGTGTCACTGGCCATATATGTCTAATGAAAAAATACATTTCCCCTTTCTATTTCTTTATGTTTTTATTTCAAGATTTTGATTTAATTGTCTTTATACATAGTCAGGAAACCCAGGGTTTTTGTTTTATCTTCATTTTAAGAAATAAAAAAGATGGAAGAGGGTTTAAGATAATAACTAGACTTTGAAATGGGACAGACCTGAGTACAAATCTGTAAACTATCATTTACTTGTTAGATCTGTGACCTTGGCCAACTAACTCCCCATCAAGGACTCAATCCTTGGTGCTGGAAGAAAAGATGGTATCGTTCACAGCATCACGTCATGAGATGGAGTCTCCAGGATCCATCTTTATCCACTTTAGAGCCTGCTCACCCAGTCTTGCAGATTCCAGCTGCACATCCCAGCCTCCGGTCATGCTTGGAGCTCTCCGCCCAGCAACCTCAAGGCTTGTTTTCCCTGCCCCTGCTGTGTCATTCCTGGTTAGAGCTGAGCGGAGACTTCTTTGCAATGACCCATGCTGGCCACATCATTCCCAGTCCAGACCACGTGCCTGCAACCGCGCCAATGATCTAATTCCCAGACCCCGCATGGCCAAGAAGGGAGTTTAGATAATGAATCCCACAGCACCTCGTTTTCTGTTCTTCTAAATGGCACACACAGCTGCAAAGGAAACACTGTCTATCGTGATGAAGCCACGCACATCTGACAACGTTCCCTGCTCCACATCCAGGACACAGCACTTGGTTCGCACCACCCTCGGGCTTCCATTCTCTTCTTCCTCACTGAAAGCCCGCCTGGCCGCGCCCTACCTCACCCCGGTCTGCGTGGACAAAACCCTCCTTGTAAAGTCAGTGTCCACTGCAGTGAATGGAACTGAGGTCTGCATTTGTAACCCGGCGCACGTTCTTTAGTCTCAGAAGGCTTCCTCTCTAGCCTATCCTCTCTCCACTACTCAGCTCACCTTTGAGTTTATCACTTACTTCAGACGTTCCCCCCATACCTTCTCTGCTGGCCACGCCCCCGCAGCCGACCAAACTGTCATCTCACCATCCACGAAGTCCAGTTCTCATCTCTCAGAGGGCCTCCTTCCTCAGAAATTTTAGCTGCTTACTAATCAAGGGATTTCAGACTAAATATATATATATATATATATATACATTTTACAATATTTATTATTGAAGTCTAGTTTGTTTACAATGTTGTGTCAATTTCTGGTATACAGCATGTTTTGGTCACACATATACATACATATATTTATTTTCATATTCTTTTTCATTATAGGTTACTACAAGATATTGAATATAGTTCCCTGTGCTATACAAGATATATTTGTTGTTTATCTAAGACTGAATATATTTTTGAGAAAATATGTTATGAGCCAGACTTGAACATAGTCGACATTGGCAAGTTGTTTTTAAGAAGCCACCATACTTGATAAAATCTTAAAATAGGCACATGTGTATAATGTGCCCCTCTGAAGAACTAACCAAATACACTGCAAGAGAAAGTTTCGCCTATTACAGGCATATGATGTAAATGAAAAAATCATCAGTAGTAAACTTATGTTCATTTTATCAAAATTTACTCAGTATATACACTGGGGAAGATACCGTGATAGACAGGCAAAGATTCAAGTAAATCTTAATTATTAATGAATAAATTTAGTATAGGGACATAACAACTATATGATCAGATAGAAAGTGGTAGAAATCTTAGAAGCACACTTAAGATTCTAGTGAGGTTTAAAATATGAGTTAATTATATTGAAGGAGGTTTCAGAAGAAAAATCATATAGGAGTTAATCTTTGAAAAAGGCTTATTTTTCCTTAAAGTATAGTCGATTTACAATGTTGAGTCAGTTTCTGACAGCATGTTTCAGTCATACATGCACATACACACATATTCCTTTTCAGATTCTTTTTCATTAGGAGTTACTACTAGACATTGAATATAGTTCCCTGTGCTATACAGACAAAAGGCTTTTCAGAATGAGTACAATTTAGACAGCTAAGCTACAATGCATGCGTATTTACATGGAAATAAAATGAATTAACAAAAAGTCTCAACGAATTGCATTTATTTTCTTTCACAAAATGAGGGTGGTGATATATGTCAATGGCTTATCCAATGTTGAGACTACATGTGATAATATTTAGGCTGAGGGGAGAAAAAGAGTATGAATATGAAATATGGGATATTATATGAAGAATTAATGTACCCCTGGGATAAATATTTAAAAACTCAAACTTATTTTATTTAACCCATCCCCTACTAATAGGCATTTAGATTGTTTTCAATAATTCGCTACTACAAGCTATGATGCAAAGAACACTTTTGAAAGTAATGAACTTTTATAGGTTTAATTCCTAGAAACAGACTTGCTGGTTAAATGATACATGCATATTTAATGCCAGATTAATTATAGCCCATAATGAACGTTAGCAAGTTACCTTCCATAAACAACACTAGTTTACACTTCCACCAACACTGAACGAGTGTGATAAAAATTTTGGCTTTAAAATGATAAAGAATTAGACACAAGTGATGTAAGAGGGCTTGGTTCTGATGTTCAGCTCTGGCCCTGTTTTGTGGTTGGGGCCTCACTGCCTATAGAATCAGGGAACATCCATATTAAACTGACTTTCCCATCAGTTAGAACCAAAGGTCAAGAAACGGTGTAGGAAGGTTGTCAGGCCCAGTTTCATCCTTCCTTAAGAAAGCAATTTTCTGCCAATCATTTTCCTAAAGGCATTTTTTACATCTTTGTTCCTTAGACTGTAAATTAGGGGGTTCAGCATAGGTATGATCAATGTATAAAACACAGAGGTCACTTTGTCAATACTCAGTGAATGACCAGTACTGGGGCGCAAGTAAATGAAGATCAGGGTACCGTGGTAGATCGTGACCACAGTCAGATGCGAAGCACAGGTGGAGAACCCTTTTTTCCTTCCCCCGGCAGAACCTGTTTTAAGAATAGCTGCCATGATGCATACATACGAGAGAAGAACTGTTAGAAGGCAGAGAGCTTCCACCAGACTAGCAAAGAGCACCAGGACAATGTCGTGGACGTAAGTGTCAGTGCAGGCCAGAGAGAAGAGCGGGGAGATGTCACAAAAGAAATGGTTAATTTCCTTGGAGCAGAAAGACAGATGAAAGGTATTAGTGGTGTGAATAATGGAGCTCACGGTACCCCCCAAAAAAGCCCCAATTGCAAGCCGGCAGCAAACCCTTTTGGACATAACAACAGTATAGAGCAGCGGGTTGCATATCGCTATGTACCGGTCATAAGCCATGGCGGCCAAGAGGAAAGATTCCGTGTCAACCAAACAGCAGAAAAAATATAACTGTGCCGCACAGCCATTGTAAGAAATTGTCTTCTTGTTGGAAACCAAGTCCACCAGTAACCTGGGGGCAATGACCGAGGAGTAGCATGCATCTATGAAAGACAATATGTGGAGAAAAAAGTACATAGGGGTGTGCAGGTGGGGACTGGTTGTGATGAGTAGAATCAGCCCCAGGTTCCCCATCAGGGTAGCAGAGTAGACGGAAAAAGACACGGCAAAAAGAGCGCTCTGAAGCTCTGGACGGTCACTAAATCCCAGGAGAAGGAACTCCGTCCTCACAGTGCTATTCTCTGGCTCCATTCTCTGCAGAGCTCCTGGGCTTCTGAGGTCGCAACAGTGATGACGCCAGTATGGACAATAACCTCAACATTAACATGGTTAAGATAATTAGAAGAGTAATTCTCAGTCCACTGGGGCATCCTGTTAGCACCTAGGCACATCTAAAATATAGTGCAATGTGCAGAACCTCAATTTCTTAAAAATAAAATCGATAATTACTTACTTCTATTCCTTGAAGGTATTTTCTACATTGACTGATGCACCATCAAACCAGCAGGTGAACTCCAATGCTGGGCTTCACTCTCACTGACTTTGACCCTCTCCACATTCACCAATGTCAGGTGATGGCGGTTCACCACATTGGTGTATAGCAAACTCTGAGCAACTAGTCTCTGCTCCCCTTTGTGTTTTTTGTTTTGTTTTGTTTTGTTTTTTAGTTTACTAATAAATCATGGCTATTCCAGTTGAAGCCTTGTATGGATAGAGCTACGGATATTCTATATTTCTCACCTTGAGATGAGGCTTTGCCTCAGAGGATAAAAGGAACTTCTTAGAGTTGCTTGAAAACCACTGATAGAAAGAGGAAAGACTCTGGGTTAGTTCCATAAGGAGCTGCCTCCCAGCCGTGCCACTCAGTAGTCATGGAAGCTTGGGCCAGCCACGTGGTCACTGAATTCAGTTTCATCATCTATCATATGGGAATGGCTGTGCCTTTCTCATCACATTACGTGTCAAATGAGTGTCTTCCCACAGCTCACTAGCTTCACCATCTTGTTCATTCACTGTCCTAACACTGGCGACACAGTCATTCTGAGTCAATCCATTCATTATTTTATCTGGAATCCAAGCTATAGGACACAACTAGAGAAATCCTCCTGCTTGCATACTTATCAAACTCATCCAAACAATACAACAATAGTACCCAGGCATGTTTCCATGCCCTTTGCAATGAAAAAGAGTAAAAGATGTTTTAAAAGGCTCAGCTGCCTACCTCTCTAAGTTATCTCTGCCTTTCTTTGTCATTGCTCCAGTCTACAGCCATGTAAGTTGTAGATAGCCTATCGCAACGCAAGAGATAGTCGTCTGTAGACAGGCACATTGCATGCAGCGTAGAGACAATTTCCTTCTCCCCTGGTGGAAGAAGCCAGTTTTGTATCTATTTGTAAGTTTATTTGTGAATTTCTGATTTAGACTATTGTGGTTCTATGAATGATCTTTCGTAATATTTATAACATCCTAATCAATAAAATAAGTAAAATCTTTTACACATGTACACTTTATATGTGTATGAAAGTCATAATTAAGTCATACATGTATGCATATATATGTTATGTATACATATATGTCGTTTTTCAAATAATTACACCCAGCTCCAACAGGTTCAGCATTTAGATACATTCGACTGAATATATTTTCATTTCAACTCATATTCTCCATCTCAGAACATGATCTAACAGCATGACCAAAATTTTAACCCCCTACCCTTTCCTCAATTCTTTCCAGGTTCTTAATACAATTAGATGCTTTTATTAAATGTTTTATACATTCAGTATTAATAAGCAAAATGCAGCTATATGAGAAGTGTAGGATTAAGGTAAGAACACTTACCAGATCACTATCTCTTTCATTTACCTTCTTACAATGCTGTCATCAGCATCCGTTCATTTTCCACTGGAAAAATCAGTTTTGACACTTTAAAAAATTGATTCATTGCAAGATGTTTTATAATCCATTTGAGCATGCCTTCTGTGTTTATAGGAGAAACTTGTGCCTCCCTTAGGAAAGCTGTAGTTCCTGAACATAATGCAAGGTGTTTTATATTTTGCTTTGAGGCTTTTGAGATTAGCTTTCTGATCTCACATCGGATCCCAGGAACACATTCTCTGATATCCAAATCCCAGCGGGAAAATTTACGTTGAGTAATTGCAGTTCTACCTACGTGTTGGTTAAGCACCAAAGGAAATAATTTAATGTGTTTTTCTGCATCTTAAGAATAGCTCAAGGAAAAATATATTGTGGATCTCAAAATAGTAGATTATTATATATAAAACTGGATTGTAATATTTGCTATCTAATTTGATTTATCCTGCTCAAAGCAAATTATCAAACAATTAATAGAATGTTCTACGTGATAAGATAGTGGAATAAACTGGAAAGAAGCAAAAATGTATCTGTCTAGGTGTTGAGAATTAGATCTTTAAGTCAACATGTAGGTGGAAAATCAATTACAAATGAAGTTAATGACTCAAATGTGTGCTATAGGTGCATTATATTCAAATGGAATTTTGGCCATCCATGGCCAGAATCTGAGAGTCTTAATTCAATAAGTATGTTTCCTCTATGAATGTGCGCCAGGCAGTGCTCTAGGTGCAAAACAGAGAAAAGGAGGATAAGTTGAACTTGGCATGAAGAATTTTGTCAAATACAGAATAATGAATGAGAGATGATAGAGGGGGAAAAAAATAAGGAATTGAATGGAGTTTAGAAAGTCCATGGCATGATTAGAGACTTGAAATAGATTTAGAGAGAAGATGTTGCCTAATGAAAAAATATGTATATATATGGAAAAAAAAAAACATGTATGTCTTGACAAAGAGAGCTCTGGGCAGTTTTGACCTTCTTTCTGCCCAGAGGATTAACCTTAGCAGAAAGAAATTCTTCCTTTCCAATCATTCCAGCAAAACCCCACTTAAGTCACTAGCTCACTAGTGTCCCACTCAGAAACTGATCACTGGATCTCTTGGTGACTGGCCGTGAACACTTCCCCGAATGCCATTGGGTACAAACACAGGGACCCACTAACAATAGGGGAGGCTGAGTCCCCACCAGAAAATCGAGATGCTATTGGTAAGAGAATGAGAAATACATATTAACCCCTATACTTTGCAAGTAAGGGAGTGGCCAGATTATACATGTAAAGCAAAGCCTCTTAAAGAAATACAAGACACCTTTCTGTGTTTTTTTTTCAGATATGTTTGAGGAGAACTCAGTGTTCTCCTCCATTGTTCTCAGACACCTGGGGTGTTACCTGTGAGATAACGTGGGAAGGGAAAGAGAACCTGATATTTAAATGTTTTTATTTTTATTTTTGTTTGTTTGTTTTGTGAAGCTGAAGACTAAGTTGACTTCCTTTTTGCTAAAACAAAGCAATGAGTCTTTCCATACAAAAAGTATGCCTATGTCTAGTAGGACATAGGGGTCAATACTTACGCACGCTGAAGTAATTCTGTGCCCTTGAAGTCCCAGAGCCCGCGGACTCTAAAGGGACACTGCGGATTCTGGAGAGAGATCAAACTGGTAACTGGATAAACTATGAGCCCGGGTAGCTGAGAAGTCTCTTAGTTACAGGGAAGCGCGGCACTGAAGGCTTTTCCGAGGAGACAAGAGCTCTGGTATGTTGACGCTCTCTAGTCTAGTGGTTCCCGGCTGCTGTGGCTTTGCCTGCCAGGGCAGATGTGACAATGTCCGGAGACATTTTTGCTTGTCACAGATGTGTTTGGCAATGGTGCTGTCACCTAATGGGCAGAGGCCAAGGTTGCTGCTAAACATTCTATAATATGCAGAACGGACTCTCACAGCCCAGAATTTTCTAGCCCAAAATGTCACTAGTGCTAAGGTCAAGAAACCCTGTTCTTGTTGGAGGACCAAAGGTGAAAGATGCTTCTCTTAACTTCATCTTAAAATATAAAGTTTCCTGGATAATATGGGAAATCTCACTCTATTTAAAACATTTGAAACTTATGGATAAAGCCATCTGGCTCCCTAAGGTTGACTTTGATACTTGTGAGATTTGTTTAGCTGATTTGGTCCAGTTCTCTGCAGGGCCATGGGTGAGGTCAGCTCTTCAGGTTGGTCTAATCCTGCTCATCAGATGAATTTAGACAGGGAGTTTGAGAAAAGGGAGGACCCAGTGCCTTTGACTTCTGGTTTTATTTATATGGAAAATATTGGACAGTAAAGCCAGGATTGGTGGAGAGGTAATAAAGAGCCTAGCACTGGGCAAGTTACACAATTGATGTGACTGATAAATATTTAGCTAGAGGTATAAACTAGTCAGGAGAATGTGAAAGTTTGGAACTCAGAGGATGGATCTCAGGATGTAATAAAAATTTGGGGATCCACAACATGTAGATGGTATTTAAGGCATGAGAATAGACGATTTATTTAGGGAGGAAGAATAGAATTGGAATAACTTGGGGCAGATCATGCACTTTGCCAGTAGCCTCACCTCCACTCGACTGGCTTCACTCCTTCAAATTATCCACTTGGCTCCCAAAGACACTTGAGTTTGTCAGCCTTAATGAAAGAAGATTAAACAAATGGCAAATATAATTATTGCTTTGATTACTCCGTGGAGTTTGTTATATGATGGTATAAACTTAATTTGCACAGTGTTTATTTGAAAATATGCTCTTAGGATTGGGACTTCATATTCTGATGTGGAGAGCCCATTAGTAACCTGAGTAAGCAGGCTGCTATAGTTTGTGGTAGCTATTTAATTTTTATCCCTTATGGTCTTTTTCAAAACAGAAATTTGGGATCTTATTCTACATATAGAAATTTTAAATTATTTTCTCTCCCTTGTCTATGACTTTTTCGTTGTCAAAATTGTAGTTTTATACTTTGGGTTTTCCTTTGTCATCCCATGTTGATTCTGTTTTACCTCTTAATTCTAATATCTTTCCTCGGAATCTCTCACAAAGCTGTCTTCTAGTTAATTAGCCAATAATGGAAAGTGGCAAGAAATGATATAAAGAATCTGGGGAAATTTTATAAATTTGGAGAGGGGCTTAATTGATCACTGTATATTCTAGGTAAGTGGGATCAACCCTTTCGACCTCTCCTTAAGGAAAAATCAAATGGAAACTGAGGAATTTTATCCTCTGCTCTCCTTCCTGGTCAGCAGGAGGATTACATGTGCCTTCATATGCACAGCAATGAGATGGAGTCAGGAGATTCTGTACTGGAAACATTACATGTGTATGTGCTCCATATCTTGAACTAATTTTAAAGAACTGGAAACACATCACTCTCCTGAAGTC